AAATCTGTTTTATTTTTGCATGTTGATAAATCATTTTATAAGTTATATGTTTTAATAAAAGTTTTAAATTTAACGTTATTTTTACAATGGGTCGCTCTGGTGGCCCTAATGTGACACTCCAGATCGGATCGGGTTACCCGTATCGGTCTGAGGGGGTTACAAATAGCTTACCAAATTTGAATTTGGGGAAACAGACTTTGGATTCGGAATCGAAACATCAAAAAACATAAAATATGCTTTTGAACATTTTGACTTTTTGGTTCAAAGTCAAATGTCAACAATTATACCAATCAACGATCAGACCGGTCAACAGTTAAAAGTTAGACTGGTTCGGGTTGAGCAAACTCGATTCAAACTTGGTTAGGCTGGTTGGGTCACCTAAACCGATTCCAGAAGGTTTCCTTGGCTGGGAAAGAGCCCCACACACTTACGGCGGTGCATGGCGACGCGTGACGGTGACGACAGAAGTTGTTTCGAATTACCAATTACTCCTTGTTTCAACACTCACCAAAATCGATCCAAATCAACATCAATATTTAGGTAAAATGGTGAAAAACAATTAAAACGATGAACCAGGCTACCCTCAATGGTGAAAAAAAATTGTAACGATGGTGAGAACAGGTCTAACTAGGTTTTGGCCAGAAGAACACTGGAAACTCAACGAGAGAGGTTGTGTGATGAATCAACTATCGTGGTGACCAGAATCAACCAAAAGAGTAGGCGTCGCTAAGGTTTTCTAATGAACCTTCGATCTACGATTCATAGAGAAAAGTGACGAGTTTTGATATTTGGCCACTAAGGTTTTCATCGGGATGAGTCGACACTTCGAATGGAACAGACGGTGACGCCTACTGATGAGCGGTGGCCAAGATCAGTGTTGAGGTTTTCGAACGCTTCTTCTATGTTTTATGATGAAAATTGAATGATGACGATGATTCATCAGTTGAGGTATGCTCACAAGGTGATGTTGAAGCTACTGCTAGCAACAGTGTAAGCCACCATCGATCGAAAGTAAGTTATCGACGAAGGCAACGCCAATAGTCAATAATTTTGGGATTTGTTTTTGATTTAGGGTTTAGCTCAGTTTTAGATTGGGGAAATAATGTTTTTCTGCCAATAGAAAATAGACAAATTTAGGGCTAGGTCCTTAAATTTCTTATAACTTTCTAAAATGACCTATAAGTTTTAAAAACTTATAATTTGACCCCTAAATTGGGGTTGTGACAATTATCTTTTAGGATGTTGAGTTTGGAGGGAGAAATAAGGTTTAAGGAAATAATTTTCAGGAGGAATTGGATTATAACTCAATTGATACTATCATTTTTGATGATATCCATGTGTTCATACATGTCGTTAATCAAGAAGTGAATCTAAAATCTCAACAAGATTATTTTAAACAACTCTACATTTAAGATGAAAAAATTGTGATGGAAGAACAAACTTAACAACATTAAAGAACAAGTGTCATTAAGAAGATTCATGAGATGAGATTTGTTTAAGATTATTATGTTTCTACAAGAAACAAGGATGAAATTGGAATTATGGAAGATGATTTAATCAACTTTTGTCATGTCATAAAAGTTTTGAATCTCAAAAGTGAATTAATATCATGTAATAAGAGTATCAGTTTTATACAAGATAATAAAGTTTGAGGACTTATCCCATTACCTGAAAGTGCAAAGTTGATTGGTTATAAATGGATATATATAATCAAGATGGATGCAAATAGTGATGTTGACAAGTATAAAGCACATCTTGTATACAAAGGATATACTCAGAAATAAGATATTAATTTTTAGAGACTTTCTTTTTGGTTTCATTGAAATACTCTTTTAGGATAAACATGATTCATGATACTTGTTGTTCATATTTGATCTTGAGTTACATAAGTTGGATTTCAAAAATGTGTTTCTCAATGGTAACATTGAAGAGATATTTTATGCGGTGTAATTAGAAAATTGTATGATAATAAAAATTAATTATATGCAAATTAAGAAAATTCATTTATGAGCTTAAGTATAACTTTTGTTAGTTGTATAACAAATTTCACCAAGTGATTATCTCGTTTGGTTTTGAGATAAATTTGGGTGACAATTGTAAATACTATAAGTTTAGTGGGAGTAAACCAAATAATACCTCTTATTGCTAAAGGAAACAAGTTTAGTATTGATCAACACCCTAAGGATGATTTTGGAGCTAAGGAAATGCAAAAAGGTTCATTATGCTTCAAAAATAAATAAAGAGTTTAATGTATACCCAGGTTTATTCGTATTCGGATATAGCTTATGATTTTATGATATTAAGAAGATATTTAAGCAACTTGGGTATAAATCATTGGATAACATCCAAATTGATTCATACGATACATTTAAGAATAAAAATGTTACATGCTCATATATCAGAGCTCTAGTAAGTAAGAGATCATCAGATTTATGGACTTCGATGTATTGGAATATGGATGTAGAATTTTGTTACATGAATTGCTAATTATGGATTGATAAGAAAGACCATTTGAGTTATTTTGTGACAACTAAGTTGCAATCCTTTATTCCATGTATAATAGAAACATCTTAAGTCTAAGCACATATACATTATGTTTTTGGTTGTTAAAGAAAATTAAGAGTGATTATGTGTTTATAGAGCATATTATTACAAACTCATAATTAAGCGCTTACTAAGGAATTGTCACCCAAGGTCTTTCATGAGCACACTACTCATGTGAGTGTAATATCATTTAAATGCTCGTTAATTATAAACACAATTTCAGTTACTTTAGTTTAAGGACATTTACTTTAAAGTTATTTTATGCAGAAATAAAGTTTGTTTTGGTTTATCCACACTTTGATTTTGATAAAATTTGATCTCGCGAATGTTTAAAAAGGACCAGTTGGAAATAGAAATGTGCGGTCCACATTGCATGTAATTTTCATGCTACACTCCATATTGATCTATGTCATTTGACTGTGTATGTATATGTGACCATTAATGGATCTAGTCATGATTGATATGGCAAATACCGCTTTGATCCTATATGAATATAATTGATGAACGAGATTGTTATAGAACACCTATTGTATGATAACAAGTTTTTAGCACATAAATTTATACGTTTATCAGGAAACATATGTTGCCCAAGTGGGAGATTGTTAGATTAAAATCCATAATTATGACACATATTTATAATGTATAATGTTATCATATAATATGAATAAATTAAGTGACCAATTATGTTATAAAATCATCAGGTATTAGAAGTATCATGGAAATAAAAGTATAGATACTATTAAAGTTGTATTTATAATTCGATGAGGGACAACATTATAAGTATAAACGATAATTGATTCTTAAATCAGCTATATAAAGGGGTTATGGTCCCCAAGAAATAGATTATCTTATATTTACTCTTATCCCAGAACAAAGAGTTTATATTTAAGGGAACTCCATCTTCTTAGAAGATCACAACCAAAGAATGATTCAAGGATTTCAATCTATCAATTAATTCAGGTACGCTTCCACATCTAGTATTTTTATTCTTATGATTTGGCGTTTGATCATGGTTTATTTTCATATTTATTATGATTTGGTTCTAAATGCTGAATCTCTAAGTTGTATGTTGGGCCTGCAATGATGTTGTGTTTTGCAGATACTTTGAGGTTCATTAGGAGTGGACGATATTTTCCCTAGGCCACGGCTAACGATTGAATGTTCTGATGATGGGTGTAGTTCACCGTTTCTGACCTGCTTTGAATCTTAATGCTAAATTGATTTTGATTGCTTCGTCGTAGCTGAGTGTGTGGTTTGGATTCTTGTATCGAACGCTTATTTTATAGCTCGTGTTTCACTCTCCTTTGACATGAGGTATAGTTCAGACTAATGATGACCCTAGATGTGTATGTTGGACTATGAAAGTGTTTTGTGGTTGTGTTGGTGGTATCCCAGGTGTGTGTGATCGTCATTGGTAGTGATTCATTATCGATAAATTATATTGTATCACTTTGTTTTGATTTGAACATTTTTTCCTTCATTTAAGATTAGAAGAATTTTTTAATGAGATCCTGACTATTGCCATTGTCCTTGTATGTTTTTGTGATATTGACAACATACAAGACATCCTTTTTCAAAGAATAAAAGTCTTTTAAATATGATTTTGAATATGACTTTATCCATGGCTAAAAATGTAACTTTGATTTGTACTCTATGAATATGATATCGAAACGACGTTAGTTACTGCCCAAAAGTGGGGGATTAACGTCAATGAGTAACATGGCTAAAAATGGAACTTTACGCACTAATATGGTAAAAACTTTTAAATATTATCTTTTGATAAAATATTTATTCTTTATAATTTTAAAATTCTTTAAAATGCTATAAAAAAACTTTTAAAATGAAAGTTATTGTACGTTTAAATGTTCTTTTATTAAATATAGATATATTAAATTTTAAATATTTATTAAAATTTAAATTCACGTGATATGAAATAATGTAAAAGTCTTTAGCCACTCGAACAATTAATAAATTTCAAATGTTTTTATATAAATATGGGGTGTATAAAGACAATATGTTCAAAAATTTCAATCATTTAACAATGAAGGCTCATACTCATGACATATATAGTGCTCGAAACTAAGACCTCAAAGAATAATAACAAATCCTTTTTTTTGGATAATTTGATTTTTATTACCCAAATAGTAAAAACCTGCTACAAAAAATCAGTGTTCAGAATATAGGGATTGCCCTACAAACAAAATAAACAGCAATCAACCAATACCCCAATTTCTACATAAAGTAATATTTACACTATCAAATCTATTAAGGTTTCTACCCCTTAGTTGCAAACCAATGTTTCCTTATAGCTTGTAGCAGTTCTTCAAAAGTCATAGATTTATCTTTGAAGATCCATTTGTTTCTTTCCTCCCATAGGATGTAGATTAGAGCGGTGGAAGCAATCTTCAAGATATAAGTGATAAGCGATTTACCTTTCCAAAACATAGAGGCCCAAGCTAAGAATCATTCCATGACAAGAGGTGGTTATGTAAACCATTCAGACCAGTAAGGGAGAAGACTACTGCCCATAGAGAAGCAGCAGTTGGGCAATCAAAGAACAAATGGTTTCTATTTTCCATAACAGCACCACAGAAATTACATGTGCAGTCATTGATAAGTCTCATTTGATGCAGTCTTTCCTTTGTAGGCAGCTTATCAAGGAAAGTCATCCAAGCAATTAAAATGTTCTTTGGGATGTGGAGAGGGAGCCATAAGAGCTTTTGCCATGGAACTTTGGTATTCTTCACTGTAAGCTTATTCCAAATGTCACTAGTTTTCTTCGTTCCAGACAGCAAAATAGGGAAGGCTTCGGTTCTCATTTTTAAAAGTTGCCTTAAACTCCAGCTCATGGATGGCTTGATTTCAGCAGTCCAAAAATAACAAATTCATTAACCACTAAAATTATTTAATTCCTCTATATTTTTAAATTTATATTAACAAGGATGTTATAATAATAATATCTATCAAACGAACAATCAATTGATAAAATCTTTTAAGCATTACTAGGTAAAGATATTTGTATATTTTTTTGTTGAAGTTTTATTTGAATTCTATTTTATCTTCGTTAAACTCTTTGTATTAGTTTTTTTTATTAAAAAGTATAAAGTTTAATTTGAGTAGATTTTATAACTACGGATGTTTTTTAATTAAGTAATTATTCTTATAACATGAACTAAGTTATCTAAGTGTTTAAAGGGATGGTTGTTATCCCTATAGGTCTCAGGTTCGAGTACATCATATGTTGGGGGTGTTTAAGCATTCATTATCAAATGAGATGATAGTCTTTCGAACAAATACTACGTTGTAATCACCTTAGATTAATCAAAAGTAATTATTCTTATAAATAGATAATAGAGATTATAATTACAAGTTAAGTCGATTTTGTAACCCTCTTATATTATTTTTTTTAATTAGTAAAAATTCTTTTCTTGTTCTTGTGATTTTTCCCGTAAATTTATTTTTTTAATTTTTTTTATTTGTGTGATCACTATTTGTCATTATCTTATAATCAAATTGCCATTAAATCATCTGAATTATTTTTCTCAATCACAATAATGACATTTTTAAAATATAAAATTCCGTTGTTGAATTGTAATATCATATTTATGTTATAGCAAGTGAAGATACATACAGTTTCGAGACATATGGATTTAGACGATGACTTGCTATGTTTAGACAAGACATCTTCAATATTAACGTTTGAGGAAATGCAACGTGAGGATTGGAAAACCTTATCGTAATTATATTTTGAATAAAATTCTTCAAGACGTATTGAAAGAGAAATTTGTCGTCGTATTGTAGTTGAATATGAAGTAATTGTGTATATCGATTACCATAACTAGCAAGTTGCATTTAAAGCAACATCTTTACTTTTATAGTTTAGTTGAAGGTACATCTTTATAAATTAATCAAATATTTTATATAAATTATCTCAAATTTGAAGACTGCGCAGATTAAATATGATAAAAAGTATTTAAAAACTAATAATGTTTTGTATGTTTCCTTCATCTCATTTGATCTTTAAAGATATATATTTATATAGTCGTGAACCCTTTATAAAATTTATGACTCATTAGCTTTGCATCATAAGATGAAAGATGTCATAGCCATATATAATTCTAAGAGAGAGGATCTCATTGTTTATGGAAGAATTCAAGAAAAATGATCTAGCAGTGACACTAAAACTAGGTCCAAATTTAACAACATATAAAAATTTGTTATTATTAAAAAAAAAGGAATACAATAACATAGAGTGTTATAGGCCGTAGAAACCAAAATGGTATAATATACAGTAAGGAAAACAAATAAAAACAGCTAAAAGAATTCGGGAAAATTAGTGTAATTGAAAATTACTATGGCGGTGAATTTTTAATTATTTTCAGTAAAGACTCTGAGTGTATTTATATTTATAGTTAATAATAAAATATTTTTACATATTTTCGATTGTTTTTTAAGAAAATTTTAATGTGAAATATCATTTTCAAATGAAGAAAAACAAATTAAGCTGTTGGAACATGTTCCTACAAAATAAGGTTAGAAAAATACAACCCATTTTTAAGTCTGATTTGGATAAAAACAAGGCTCGTTAATATCCCGAATGAGCCCAACTCAAATTCAGTTCAACTCGACGTAAACTTTGAGTTTGGACTTTACGAGTTCCTTTTTCATCATAAATAAAGTCCTCAAAAGAGGACGAATTCAGTACAACAAGCGTGGTCGATAGACCCAAAAACAAACGGAAACAAACATTATATAACTATTAGTATAACTTTTGCAATTAAATTTGGATTATTATTTTATACATTATTAAAAAAACAAAGTTATAAATAATGTTTAGATGATATTAACTATAATATTATTCATTTAATATATATGACAACTTAGATAAAGTATTTAACGAAATACTAATTATAATTAAATTAAACATAGATTATTATTTTTTGGTAAGTTGGGTTAATATAAGATATTATATATTGAAAGATAACTCACAACCATTTGATAATTAATGTTTATATATGTTATTCTTAATATATGCGGTGCTCAAATTCAAGACCTCAAGAGATAACAATAAATTATTTGACATCGTTTAATATGGGGTAAGTATAAAATAGAATCCGTTTAAAGATAACTCTGAACCATTTGACATTGAACGCTCACACTCATGATGTTTATGGTGCTCGAACCCAAAACCTTAAGAAATAACAACAATTCTTTTAGTGCTAAAATCTTGATTCGTGCTTAAATTTATAAATTTAAGGTATTTTTGATAGGTTATAATTGGTTTTCTATAAAATAAATTATGTTAAATGGATTACCTGAAAACTTTTTACGAAAATGAATTATGTGAATACTGTTTTACGTAAAATGAAATACATTTTCTGGAAAACAGTTTTCGGAAACTATTTTATGATTTTTGATGATAGTGTAAACCATTTATGCTAATTGTTCGATACACTATAATTAATTTTATAGAAAATAATTTACATAAAATGAATAAAGTTCGGTTTGGCTAATATATTCAAAAAACGATCGATTTCATTAACAATTAAAGAAAAAATGTTCAATTAATTCGGTTAATGATAATTCAATTCGATAGGTGATCGAATTAAATGTTTGAATACCTTTAATTTTAATTATTAGTATTTTATTAATATATTAAAATGAAATGCATAAATTAATATTACTCATTATTAATAATTTAATAATATTATATTTATAAAAACAATAGATAATATTAATTATATTAATAATTTATTATATATTACTAAATTATAATATCATATATTATTATAATATATTTGAGTATATATTAATATAATATTAAAAATATAATATTATTAAAATTATTAAAATGATATTAAAATATTAAATAAATAAAATAATATTTTTTAAGTGATTATGCTCTGAAGTGAAAAGTTATGAAAATATTTTTGAAAAATCAGATAGTAAAATATTTCACAGAAAATAAAAGAAGGAAAATAAATTACATTGGGAAAATCAATTAATACCATTAAACACCGGAAAATATTTTATGTAAAACTAATTACGACTATCAAACACTGGAAAATATTTTCCGGAAAACGTTTTCCAACTATCAAACACAAAAAAATAAGAAAAATATTTTTGAAAAATGTTTCCCACTATCAATCACACCTCTTATACAGGTGCTTTTGGGTAAACTTAAACTTTTGAATCCTATTTTAAGGGATCTAATTTGGAATCACTACTCTGGGATTTCTAAAAATGTGGTTGGGAAAAGGGAAAAAGGAACAGCTAGAGCAGCAACAGATTTTGAACTTGGTTGGTTCTGGGGAAAGTAGTATGGAGGCTGAGAGGGTGTTGATGATGGAATTGGATGAGTTAAAGAGTGCTAAAAGTGTGTACTATCTGCAGAGAGATAAGGTGGCTTGGCTCTATGAGGGGTCATTGCACTCATTGTTTTCACTCTCATGTTGTTGTTAAGAAGAAGATGAACACCATCAGAGTCTTGCAGGATTAAAAACGGGCCATGATGAAGACTTTTGACTCCATGGCTGTTGAGTTGGTGGAATTCTTTACTAAGTAGATAGGAACTGCTGATGAGGGTGTTCAAGGATGTGATATTAGGATTTTGAGGGATTTGTTAGACTTCTCTTTGCCCGATGAGGCTGGCAAGAGTCTGATTAAAGAAGTTACTAAGGATGAAATAAGGAGTGCTTTCTTCAGCCGAGGAAGGACAAAAGCCCTGGTCCTGATGGCTTCACAACTAGTTTTTTAGAGCTATCTGAGATATTGTAGTTGAGATGTTATTGCAGCTGTCCAATTTTTTTCACTTCATCTATTATGCACCCTACCTTTAACTCTAATATTGTCATTTTGGTCCCTAAAATACCTAATCCTAGAATGGCCAAGGACTACAGGCTAATTTCCTATTGTTCTGTAGTGTATAAGGTCATTATTAAGATTCTTGTGGCTCGGCTTACTCCATTCTTTCCTGGAATGATCCCTATGAATCAGTCTGCTATTGTCAAAGGTATAAACATTGTGGATAACACTCTCTTGGTCCAGAATTGGTAAGGGGGTATGGAAAAGAAATTTATCCCCTAGGTGCGCTATTAAAGCTGACTTGCAGAAGGTGTTTGACTCCTTAAGCTGGGATTTTATTTTAGGAGTTTTGGAGAGTTTGGGGTGTCTTTTCAATTTAGGAAGTAGATTGTTGTTTGTGTTATTGGATCCAGGTTTTCCATCTCCCTTAATAGCAACTTGGTTGGATATGAGGGGTAGAAAGGGTATAAGACAAGGACCCTTTATCCCCTTATTTGTTCGTGTTATCAATGAGTGTGTTGAGTAAGTTGTTGGACAAAGTTATTGCATAGAAGAGTTTTCAGTAACACCCTAGGTATGGGAAAATTAGGCTTACTGTGTTTTGCAAATGATTTGCTCATCTTTTGTAGAGGGGAGATTGGATTTGTTGTGGGATCAGATGTGTGTTGGATAAGTTTTATGAATTATCTAGGCTAAGGTTTAATGCTACAAAGACAATAATGTTTTCTTCTAGCATGAATGAGGCCCAATTAGAGCTTGTTCATGAGGCTACTAGGTTCAAGATGGGAACCATTTTTCTTAGGTACCTTGTTAGGTACCTTGGAGTTCTTTTACTCTCTAGGAAACGGACTAAGAGGGATTATATTTGGTTTGGTGGAAAAGATTAAAGCTAAGTTAGGGCAGTGGGCTAGTAGATGTATTAGTTATGATGGTAGGATACAATTGATTAGTAATGTTCTTTATAGTATTGACAACTTTTGGTACAGGTAATTGGTGTTACCCTCTACTGTTATTC